ACAAAGACTCTAAATATTAAGCAATCCCAAACTCCAACACTATTAGAGGACGATCAGTGACTAAATGGACGACAGATATCTAAGATCAACGCTGCCTTTGCAGCTACAAGCTTATCTAAATACCCACTGCGTCACTTGTTTATCCTAGACTCTAGCTCAACGTGTTACATTATAAATAATCCAGACAACATCTATAACTATTAGCCACCAGTGCAAGGAGACCTTATCTAGGCAGGCAATAGTTAGATATAGATCATAGGATATAGCACGATAATCCTCCACCTTATACACAAACAGAGACCTAGGAAGCTAGTACTTAATTATGTAGCGATATGCCTAGATCTGCTATGCAACCTCGTCTCTTTCTAGAAACTCTAGCAAACAGGAATATGGTAGGACACTAAATCAGAGCCTACGGCACTTAAAAGACTCGACGGGACGACTATCTGCGAGCTCTTAGAGCGTTTTGGCTAGTGGGTGCTTGACCACACACCTGGATTCTGTGCCTAACCTAATCACCAAGCACTCTACACCCACAAACACACCTTAAAGACTAAGAAACCACCCTAGCAAGCAACCGCAATACTCTAGCACAAGCGCCTAGGCCATCTAGGCCCAGCAGCGATTAAGCATCTAGTGCAGCAAGCTAAGGGGGTGAGGATTAAGGGTATCACAATAGTGGAGTGCAACTCATGTGGGAGAGCAAAAATCCGCCAACAGATCAGTCGCGCTTCTCAGACACATGATTAGAAGCCTGGTGAGAGGATAACGATCAATTTCTACAGCTATGAGAAGTAGTCCTACAACAAGGAGTTATTACAGCTATTAATCACAGACAAATACTTACGGCTGCAATAGGATTTCTATCTTATTAACAATTAAACAGCTAGATTAATCATTAAAATACTCACTAACTTCCTCACTTTTCTCAAGAATTAATACAATATCACGCCTAAGGTCGTTGAAATAGATAATAAGATCGCGACTATTAAGCCTGAAGTGATGCGCTGGCTCTAAGCCAGGGGTATTGCTATCGAGCCTTTAGCGCCTAACACTCAAGCACAAAATGGCAGCGCTAAACGCTTAGGGGGTGTGAATAAGGAGAAGGCGCGCGCAATGCGGCTAGACGCAAATCTACTATAGGAACTCTGGCCAGAAGTCACGTGAGCCGCGGTATATCTATACAATTGAACGCCGAACTACGTCAACTAGTGGAAGACACCCTATGAAGTCTTCTTCACCTACGTATCCTAGACTAATAGGATAATAACGCCTAAGAAGCCTAGATTGGCTCATCTTAAAGCATATAGGTGCAAGGCGTTTGCTATAACTAACAATACTCACTGCGGCAAATCAAGACTCCAGAGGCTTGATCCCAAAGCCTGGATCGGCTATCTAGTCGGCTATCAGGCGTCGACGATCTATCGAATCTAGATCCCATCACTAGCCAAAGTCATTAGCACTAGAGATATAATCTTCGACGAAAATACAATATTTGATGGCAAAGTCGAAGACCTAATGGATAGTCTCATGCACAGCACTCTATCAGAGATTGCAGCATACGTCAGGACTATCGAGCTCCCACCGCCGATCCCGGACACTGGGACGGAGTCGTTTTATGAAGACGACACCATCAATACGACAAAAGAGATTAACAAAACAGAAGATCCACCAGGCTACTACATGGGAAGGAAAATTCAGGAGCACTATCCAACGCCGCCAGCCACTCTACCACCAGTGGCGTTACTGGCTCAGCTTATGAGTGGAACGGCAGAAACTACTCCAGAAATCCAATCGTCTAAAACAGTCCCATGGGCCGCAGCTTTTATGGCCGGAACCGAAGCCGGAAGCATTGGAGATCACAATGGCAGCGCGATAGACAAGGCGCAGCTTAGACGGCTGCTCTCCAAAGGAGTCAAAATCCATCAATCCCAGCTCCCTGAGCCGCTGATAGCTAGATTAAACCTAGACGAGCATCCAATGGGCGAGCTATTTAAAGAAGCCTAACGCGCTTATCTAGACAGCTATAAGATTACTAACTCGTGGGTAGAAGTACTATATAAGGCAGTTAAGGCAAGTAGACATTAGATTCTAAACTGCATGTAGGTCTGTACCTACAAATTCAATCAAGAAAACTAGTTTCTCAAGTGCAAGGCACGACTAGTAGTTAGGGGCGATCAGCAGCGGAATATTACCTCTCAAGACACCTACGCTGCTACCCTAGCTAGACGATCCTTTCGTCTATTTATGGCTGTTGCTGCTAAATACGATCTTAAAGTTAAGCAGTTTAATGTCACTAACGCGTTCGTGCACGCCTAACTCGATAGAGAAGTGTACATGCGTATGCCCCATGGATATCAGAAGCCAGGTACCATACTCAAGCTCCAAAAGGCACTCTATGGGCTGCGGATATCGCCAGCGTTATGGCAACGAGACTTCACAGCAACGCTCACTAAGCTTGGGTTTCAGACTGTACCCCATGAGCCATGCTGTATGATCAAGGACAGCACTCTAGTCTTCTTCTATGTGGATGATTTTAATATAGCCTATGGCCAACACCAACTACATTAGGCTACCACATTAGTAGAAGATCTCAAAAAGACTTACTCAATGACTGGTGGGGACGATATCCAGTGGTTTCTTGGGATCGAAGTGAGGAGAGATCGAGAAAAACGACTTATCCACCTATCCCAAGGGGCCTACTGTAAGAAGATCAGCCGACTAGCTAAGGACAAGACTGTCCAGCATAATACCCCAATAGGCAGTGCTAAGCTAAAGCCACGAGACGGGCTAGCTACTCTACTAGAAATCACCAAGTATCAACGCAAGATTAGATCCCTACTCTACGCAGCTGTTAATACTAGGCCGGATATTACCTTTGCAACGTCCCGCCTAGCTAGGTTTCTCTCCAATCCTAGCCAAGAACACCAGAGGGCTGCGGATCAAGTGCTACTCTACCTTAAAGAGACCAAGCTCCTAGCGCTGTAGCTAAGATCAGGCAATTCTATACAAGTAGCTAGTGACGCATTATTTGCTAACAATACACTAGATCGCAAAAGCTCTTAAGGCTACACGATCAAGCTATTTAGCGGACTTATCGCCTAGCGAGCTAGCAAGCAAGATATAGTTACTACGTTCACTACTAAGGCTGAGCTTTTAGCACTATCACAAGTAGCTAAGGAAGCCATTTTTATATCAAGACTAATCAAAGAACTCAAGGTTGACCTACTAGATTAGATCAAAATCTAGTGCAATAACTAACAAACTATCTAGCTAGTTACTTAGGAGATATCAAGACTCTAAACTAAGCTTCAACACGTGGATATCCACTATCACTAGCTAAGGCAAGAAGTCGCCAGCGGACGGATCAAAGTCACCTACACCTAATTGATAGAAATGACAGCAGACGGACTTACCAAAGCTCTCCTAGTAAACTAGTGGCAGCGATTTCTAACTCAACTGGGGCTAGTAGAAAGCTAGACTCAAGAAGCAACCCGAAAAATGGCTCTGCTCGAGATCTAGGATCAAATTAAGCGTCTAGCGATCTAACTAACTAATAGTCTAGCTTGTAATCCTAATTGGCTCTAAGCTGAGGGGGTGTGTCAGATAAGTGGCAGAATCTGGGTGCGGACTCGAGCACCAGGATTCTGTGATCCCAACTAATTAGGGCTGATCGCCAAGACCTAACCCTAGGCGAGGCTGATACTTAGCGGCCTACCTAATACAAAAAGCAATAGCGATAGCTCTTATAAGGGGCGCGCCCTCGCGCCCCTATAGACAACAGAGCGTAGAGCAATCAATACAATTAGTTTCTACTATCAAGTTTATCACAGTCTTTTATCACAGTGATCCAAACCGGTCCTTGATCAGAAAATCCCTAACAGTCTGACAGATGCCTACAGCCTTTAACGGAGCTAAAAAGAGGTGCTGCTTTAGCTACTTTTCTAGCTATTCTAGCGTTCTAGCTTCTCTAGCTTCTTTAGCTTCTCTAGTATTCTAGCTATTTTAGCGTTTATTATATAATAAAAGCTTAGTTAGACTAACTTAAACTAAAAATCTATAATATCTTAGCACTCATGTAATAAATTATAGTAGACCTATTTGACGCTAATAAGAATTAATTCTAGTAATATTTTATTTTAAGCCTTTACAAGAGAAGAGTTATAACTATGCTAATATATAACTAATTTTTATATATAGCTAAAGCTATAACCAATGTTATTAAGTAATAGCTGATAGGAAAGTATAATTTAAGAGTTAACTATAATAAGTGTAATAATAAACTCTATCTATTCTTTATACATGTTACTTTTAATTTATTCTTATAGTGCTTATAAGATAACCCTAATAGCCTCTAAGGACAATGTTGATAGCAAAGCAGATATGACCTTAATCTGTGTGAGGTCTACAGACATTCTGACGGGCCATAATGATGCTAGAGAGAGTTGCAGCTTCATCTATTACGCTGTATTAACTGTGATACTCTACTACTGGCTGTACTGGACATTCTGGTGTTCGGGCTGTTTTGGTGTTCGTCATGTGATCAGGCATGGCGCGACTAACCCGAACGAGACATTTCAATATATTGGCAAATCTTCTTACAGCCAATGAGAGTCGCTTCAGCCGCCTCAGCCTTGCACCTTGAGCCCCTATTCGACACACGTGACTACACCATGATACGACTAAAGTTCATACGCAGCTAACGCTACAGCAAATATCCCTGCCCTTAGATGTCCGCAAATCAGCCGACGAATACACAATACCACCCCCCAATCACTCATTCCACCCTGTCAACTCGGTCTGTGCCATGAAGAAGCCTTCTTTTACCCTGAAATGCGACTTGACAAAATTCAGAATGGAATCCACCATTTTAGTAAAACCCCCACGAGCCCCCTCCCATATTCGCGCTCCAAATCTTGGTATCTAGATGCATATTAGAATGGTGGGTTAATCAGGCAAGTGTAGAACCAAGCCAAGATTCAGGCTTTTGGTCTTACTTTTCATACATAGGTAATTGTCTCAGATAGCTGCCTTGGCATCGGGGTAGGTTCCGTGTGCGCATTTCTCATCCATAGCCGTCCATTCCATCCACGAGTGCTGCTCACAGGCCTTATTGAAACTTCTGGATGGAGCTCCCTCATCATACTGTAAAAGCTTGAAACCCACGCCGAGGACCCTTCATCGATGTCATCCTCAGTGTCATCCTCGGTGACAGTAGATATATGCAGAGGTCCGTGCTTGCCCATCATTGCCGCAGTATCGTCAACTGTGGGGCACGGTGTTATCTTGGGCTCGAGGGTAGATATTTGGAGAGGCCCATGGATGGCCATCATGGGTACGGTATCGTCGAGAGACTGACGCGACGTGATCTCTGCTTCGGTGACTGTATATATACGAAGAGGTCCATGCATAGCCATCATGGGCGCAGTATCCTTGATTGGGATGCTCGGCGTTACCTTGGCTACGCTGCTGGTAGTGGCATTGGCGTGGTGCTTGGCAGACCCCGTGTGCACGTATACCTTTAAACGTTCTGGGTCAGTTAGTATGTTGCGGGTGGTAGTCACCGTCACAATGACTTCCTTGACTCGAAGCCTGCGGTAAGCTGTGCTGTTTAGTATATGGCAGGTAAGCGGTGAATATCAAGACATACCATTCGAAGCCCGGATAGCAGTCCTAAAGGGGTTGCCAGAGGCGTCCTGTGGTCCTATGAACTGGCCGGGGTTGTCGCAGGCAGCCGAGGTGATGGGCTCGGAGTAGAGAGCACAGATTGCGAAGAAGATGGCGCTGGGGTTGGGGCAGCTTTCATCGGGGACAACAGAGGGGTAACGCTCGACGTAGATGTTGACTTGAAAAGTATTAGTGAAGCACTAGATATGAGACAAGTATAGGGATTCAACGTACAGGTATCGCAGCCAGGGTGAGAATCACACATTTTGGCGCAGGTTTGTGAGTCGTACGAGGACATCCTAGAATACCTCATGTACTTGGAAGAGGACAATGCACATTTTGTGTCGGACATGATGAGTTCATATCCTTCGGGCTTGACGGCATTGCGGGCGAGCATGCTGTAGTTGGCAGACTCGTTGAAGCCGGCGAGGGTGTTGACGGCGGGCTCGGGAGCGGTGCTCCGTCCGTTTGAAACGCAGGGAGACTGTGCGCGGGGGACAGCAGCTGCCGAAACTGCGCCGAGGATGGCGGGCAGGGCGAGGATGGACTTCATGTTGAGGCTGGATGGTTTGAAGGGGTATCAGAAGTCCGAGTTGACAAGGTATTAATCTCTTGGAGTGAAATGGAGACGGGGACGTCTTTATATGTGGTCCAGGATGGAAGAAACAGCACAGAACAGCTGATTCTGAGAGAGACATCGGGTCCTACCATGTCTTTCCATGGATACATGGCCGTGTTCATGGCCGATCACCAATGTGCTTGTTGTTAGATATTCTCCGACCAAGACAACCTTAGACCATCCAAGGGCAGTAGAGGAGTCTACAATAAGGTCGATATGACTGGATCAACGCTTCCGATATTCCTGCCACGAATCCATCGTTGCAAATGCCGACAACGCGCGAGGCGGGCAGAGCTCGGTGCGTGTCGTAAGAGTCGAAAAGAAGCAAATAGCCAGCCAATGTATCCACGGCGCCGATGATGCGTACCAGGGGTACGCGTCTGCGAATACGAAAGTAGAAGCTGGGTGTGCGGGAAGTGCGGGTAGCGCGGGTGTGCGGGAAGTGCGGGTAGCGCGGGTGTGCGGGAAGTGCGGGTAGCGCGGGAACAGGGCCAACCGACAGGGCCAGGGCCGTTGCGCAGTCGCCTGGGTCGGGACGACCCGTGTGCTCGTATCAGAAGCTTCTTATTGCTGTACTAGTATGTGGATGTACTAGTAATTTCGCGGTCCGAAAGCCGGGTGAAGAGGCGCCGCGGACGAAAACAGAAAATGGGGGGGGGGGGGTGACGGGCTGCAGCGAAAGGGCCACTTGCTGGCATCTGCTGATGACGTAATACTGGAGCGGCGCAGCGAGCACACGAGCGGCTGCAAACATCCCAAGCCGACGAAAGAATACATACACACACATACATACGCACATACATAGCCGCTCTCTCGCCTTCCGCCTTCCGCCTTTCGCTGTCAGCCCAGTCGCCATGTCAACGAGCGTTGTGCACTCGTCGCCGTCGGCCTCGCATCGCGGCGGGCCGCTGGGGGCGCCCAAGGAAAACTCGCCCTTCTTCTCACCACTCCCACAGGCAGCATGGTCGCCGACGGCCGCAAACAACGCGCTCGGCCGCGACATTTGCAGCATGAACTCGACCATCCTGGCGGACCTCCAGGGCCTGTCGTCGATCCCGCGCGTCTATGCCGCCCTCTTCCACCGCACCCGCACCTTTGCCGCGACGGTGCGCCAGCTGGTGGCCGTGTCGCCGGGCATGTGGGCCCAGGCGGCCTGTCTGCTGGTCGACTGGGGCGTGCACATCTTGCGGCATCCGCAAATCCGGCTCGAGCGCTTCCTCAATAGTCAGCGTGAAAGCTTGTATTGGATCCTCGATGATGCCCTGTTGAGGATTTGCCTCGACCAATGGGATCCCCCGCTCCTGGCTGCGGTGCCCACCCTGCACAAGGACCCCTCCGGCCCTTCATCGCGTGCTTCATCTTCAACCTCTTCCTCCCTCTCCTCCCCGCCCTCTCCTTCGCATTCTCTCTCGACTTCAGCTGCCCGCGTTGCCGCTCCCTGGGACGTGGCGACTCGGCCCGTCAGGCGGTCCTTGGCCGAGGCGCAGCATCTGGTCCCGCTCTGGGGCCAGCAGGATGTAGAGGAGACGAAAAAGTGGAGCGTGCCCGCCTGCGAGGGCGCCATGGCAGAGTGGTTCGAGGTAGGATGGTTCCGCCGGTCGACCAGCTTTCTTGCGCAGAGTACCAGAGTCTACGAGATATGGAGGACCATGCGACGGGTGGCCAGAGGGCAGCTTCCTGCCGAGCTGGCCAATGCCATTGTGGAAGATGTCGCCGCGTTTGAAAAGCTGCCGCTGGGCGATTTACGAGAAATGTATTTTCCAACGGCGTCATGAGAGAACGACTCACTAGAGCCATAGATTGAAGAAACAAATAAAGCGCGTTCGATCAAAGTCATTCCTACGTTGGCGCCCCGCCATCAAGCCACGGTTCCTGCGTCTCTCCGCCCCTTGCACACTCCAAGATGGCAGCCACATCTTCCTTCGCGCCCATGCCCTGCATGGCCCCAAACGCATCCGTCAAGGTACTTTCCGCCACCTTGTCCATGTCCTCTTGCTTTTCCACGCCGGCTTCTTTCAGCGTGCTCGGCAGACCCAGGTACTGGACGAACCTGGTTACGGCATCCGCCAGACTAGCCTCGTCGTAGCCAAGCACTCTCTCCCAAACCGCCAGCACCCGCCGCTGGGCCTCGTTTTGCTTTTCCGACTTGGTAGCCGTATACCGCAGCACAGGAGCAAGCATGATGCACGACGTGACGCCATGCAGGACGCCGCATATGCTGCCCAGCTGGTGGCCTATCGCATGCGACAGGCCCATAGGGACGTTCCATAGCAGCAAGCCCTTCATGGCATCTCTCGCCCCCAACTGGCACAGGGCTATTCCGCCGAGCAACTCAGAGCGCTCCTCGTCGTTTTCGCTGTCCTTGTACTCGCGCAGCCCTTTCAGCAGCACGCCGAGCGCCTCTTCCATGTGGCGGAACACATCTGCCGTGCACTTGTCGCTGACCATCTAGACCAAGGACACGGATGAGCTGAGATCTTTCTGCTGGAGTAAAAAGAGAATACGTACGGTTTCTACGCAATGATCGACTGCGCGCATGCCGCTTGCCAGCCAGAGTTTGCGCGGCGACGTCACAGCCACCTCTGGGTCCAGCAGAATTACATCGGGCGCCGCGTGCTCACTGGCAAAATGCTGCTTCTTGTGCGTGTGCGGATTGGTCGCCGAGGAATTGCTGTTCCACTCGCTGGCGGAGAGACTGGTTGGCACGACAATCAGCCTGATGCTGGGGTCTTTGAGGCCATCTGCTCTTCCCTTTTCCTGGTCAACCAAGGCCTCCATTGCGTCGACCGTGAGGTTATCCGGGGCCAGATTCGCATGCATCAAGCGCGCGATTTTGCTCGCGTCCGAGTAGCTGCTGCTGCCGATGCTAACGAGGCAGTCTGCCTTGTGCTCGTGGAGCAGCCGCGTTATCTCGAGGACATCGCTGTACGGCGAGTGTGCGCCCACGCCGCTCTTGATGGCTACAATAAACGAGCCCAGCTTCTCCTTCAGCTTCGCAATCACTCTTGTCTTCTCATCCAGCGTCTTGGAGTGCACCACGACCACGCGCTGGCAGCTCCATGTGCCTAGTGCATCGGTAATGTCCGTCAGGTACTCGGCGTTCAAGACGGCGTTGTGCCCGTTTCGCGCCGCAATGGGGAGTTGCTGGATGGTTCTCTTTTTGTGGCTGGACCCTTGGTTGATGGAGCTCGACATGTCGACAATGAGTGTTTTATCTTCGCTATACCTATCTATTTAATAGTCTGGGTTTGGGGTTATATCTCCCAAGCTGCGAGGGCGGGGCAGCATATGGCTGGATGATGGTAATGGCATGCGCTTCCTCTGACGAAAGTCTTACCTCATTTCTTGTCAGGCTCGCTCGCCGTGAGGAAACAAGTGTAGCCGCCATGAAATGCACGAGATCGACAGATTTCGGGGCCTTGATGTCCCATTTGAATGGGACTGGTGCGTTGTTTGCGTGGTGAGAAGTGATCCGTATCGTTGGCGATGTTGGGGTTTCGCAAGGAAGCGACTCGCGGAGCCGAGTCCACCAATCGCCGTTGCTGACCCGGATAGGGTCTCAATCCTTTGAAGGAGTTTTGGTGTTTGCGTTGCCCTGGGGTGACGTGCGCGTGGGTCGCTGCGCTTGAAGCCCTGGATGTAGCATGCGACGTGCCATGCAGGGCTCCGATAGCGCTTGCACCTCAGAATATGGAGGGGTTTTCGTTTTCCTACCACTACCACTACCGGCAGGTGTAAGTTGAAGGCCGGGGTGCGCCAACGGCCGGCATTGCGCTAGTGTCGATTGGGCATCAGTAGCTGCAGGTCGTGGCACCAGATACATGTGGATGCGACAATTGCAAATATCGGAAAGCGCTGAGCGCGTACTTGGGGCAACACTCATTCCGCGGATAGCGTATCACCAAGCCCAGGTCAGCGCAGCGGGGACTGACGTACTTTTGTATTCAGTGTTACGTGGCCCTGACAGATGGGTGTTGGAAAAGATCGCGATCAAGTGCAAGCGCCTCGTATGACCTCTAGCCCAATTTTGAACAACCAGCGCTATTCTAGCTATCGTCAGCGAGCGTGTATCCGGTCACGATTTGGTATTCGCAGCTTTATCTTTTATATGGAGCCATCCGGGCTATGAAGCAATGCTGTGTTGTGCTGGTGGGTCAAAGCCGTTACTCTAAGGTGGCTGGGGGAATGACGTCAGGAGATGCGATGACCATGACCAGGCACATCCGCTGCTAAGTCAGTTCCCCCCCATGGTGTCGATTACGTTATAAAGCGAGAACCGCATTTCCCAGTACATACGACCATAGGTACCAGAATTCTGTGTCTCTCGTCCGCTCGGCAATACATAAGCTGGTAACCGGCAGATTAGTAGTCAGGTGGGTGACCACTGGCGAATCCCTGCTGTTGTATGTTTTTTCTTTTTTTTTGCGCCTTGGGCTTCTTTTTTGTGGTGTATCCTTGGATGCTCGCACGTCGACTTTGCGTGGATTAGGCATTGCTTGGATTCGCTCTTGTTCAGAAACGTGTTGCCTCCGTAATATGCCAAGCCCTGCTTTGAGCGTGACGCAAATGTATGTCATGCCTTCCCGAACAACAGGACCGCACCTCGCACTAACCACCTCCGCCCCCGAGCCCTTCTCCTGCAGTCACTCTACTCTAGTCTTTTTAGCCCGCGACTTCGCTTTCAACAACGACCGACTCCCGATCTTGGCCGCTTACTCACTCAGGCTTTGCAGCGCAGGATACGCTTTCTCCGCGGCATGGGCGCCTTCAGCCGAGCCATTGCAAGATGCAGCTTGCACTTTCTCCATGAACCAGTGGGCCAGGCACAAGGAGATTGCTTATGCATCCAAATCAATGTCATATGCCAAGGTAAGAGGGAAGAATGCGGACGGGAAGGCGGAGTTTTCGTTCGCCCTTGATGCCGGTGTCTCGGTGTTCCGCTGCGACGAGAGTATTTCGACGGTGAATACACGGGTTGTAGGAGAATATAGCGAGGACACGAGGATATAAGCATCTAGAAGGACAGAAAGATGCGTCTTCATGCCTACAACCGTTCCAGCAGAACCAGCGTAAGACACACCACACTCGTATGCTTTCTCAACCCAACATGTCGCTCCCCCAAGTCCAAAAAGCCCTCCTCTTCAACAAAACACCATCCACACTGCACCTCAGCACCAGCGCTCCCCTTCCCTCTCCCTCGCCATCCTCGCTCCTCCTCCGCGTCCACGCCGCCGCAATCACAAACGGCGAGCTCACATGGGCGCCCTACCTCAACTGGCCCGAACACCACATCCCATGCTACGACGTCAGCGGCACCATTGTGCATCTGCCGCCCGCCAGTTCAGATGAGACCGCGCCAGTAAGCCACAAGTTCAGTATAGGCGACCGCGTGTACGCCCGGATCCACGCCGCGCGCGACGGAGCCGCAAGCCAGTACGCGTCGGTACTGCTCTCTGAAGCAGCGCTCGTTCCCGCCGCCCTCGACATGCAGACTGCGGCCGCGGTGCCAATGAGCGCGCACACAGCATGGCAGGCGTTATTCGAGCACGGCAATCTCACTGGCTCCTTCACCGAAACAAATATACCGCATGTACATGCGAAAACAGGAGATGCGGTGCTGGGCCAGGCTCGCGGCAAACGCGTGCTTGTGCTTGGCGCCGCGGGCGGCGTGGGCACCATGGCGGTGCAGTTTGCGAAGCTGGCGGGCGCATGGGTCGCGGGCACGGCGGGGCCACGGAATACGCTATTTCTGGGGGAGCTGGGCGTGGACGAGGTGCTGGATTATACGCGGACGGGCGTCGAAAAGTATGTTTCTGGTGGTGGGGCAAAGTTTGATCTTGTGCTTGATTGCGTGGGCGGGCATGCCATGATGGATGCGTGGCATGGTGTCAAAGAGCATGGGGCGTATATCTCGGTTGTGCCTGGGTTTCGGGAGCCCGATGGCGGCAAGCCCGTGGGCGTCAAGAGCCTGTGGTTTGTCATGGAAGCCCGGGGCGAGGAGCTCGAGCGCATTGCCAGGTTTTTCGAAAAGGGCATGCTCAAGGTCGGCGTGGATAGTGTGTGGAAGCTGGACGAATATCAAAAGGCATTTGAAAGGACGGCGACGGGGCATGCGAGGGGCAAGGTCGTGCTGACGGTTGACGAGTGAAGGAGACGGTGCAATGTCCAACGTTAGTGTTATTTGTTCGCTTTAGAATGTAGAGCCCCAACTCTAACACGCAATGCAAAGTATGAAACCGTTCCCATTGGCACCCCCTGTTGAAGTAGCGCCAGGTATCCTCTATCATCCATCCAACCATGCATGTCACCATCCGCGCGTTGAAAAGCCTACTCTGCGGTAAACTCTGCATACTCGTCTTTGCTCATGGTCCCGCTGGGCTCGCCGTCGACGGTAATCTTGGCGATCCAAGCCTCGCCCTCGGGGTCCTTGTTGACGTTTCCCGGGGTGCTCTCGAGCGCCGTGTTGACCTCTGCGACGACGCCCGAAATGGGCGTGAGAATGTCCGACGCCGACTTGACCGACTCGACGGCGCCAATTGCGTCGCCCTCGCTCACGTCCATGTCGACCTGCGGCAGCTCAATGTAGACGACGTCGCCCAGCGCCTTGGCCGCGTACTCTGAGATTCCAAGCGTGCCTGTATGCGCGGGCATCGTGTTAGTCAGGCCGGCTCAATGGCGGTGTGTTGTGTTGTGTTGCGCCGGTCGGCCAGCAAAACTATCGCGAGTTGCGGGGGGATGGCGGGGGAAACGACGTACATGTCTTGCCATCGGCAGACATCTCAATCCACTCGTGGTCCTCGGTGTACCGCTTCTCCTTGACTGTCGACCCCGTCAGTCAATCCCAACCCCCAATTCCTCGTCGCGACACGGCGGGCGCTCAGGGAAATGCGTACATGCGGCAGATACCGAGAATAGCCGTTGCGGAGGGACCTGCTGCCACCTCTGGCACGCAAACGGCGACGGCTTCTTTGCCGCCGCAGACGTGAATTGGCGCGCAGCGCGGGCGATTGAGAGTCTGGCGGCCATTATTTGCGCAGTCGAGTATTTTGTGTGGATGCAGAAAATAAGAGGGAAGCAGAGTTGCGCGCTGGTCATGCAAGGCCATGGACACCGCCAAGATAAGGGAAAAGTGGAGCTCCTCCGCGGTTTGCGGAAAGGTTCGCCGCTTTCGACTACTTTTTGCGACGGGGAGACCAACGTCCACCTGCCACCACCACCCGCGCAACCGCCGCAAACATGTTGTATGAGATGATTGGAGTGGTATGGTGATGTTGCCGCACCGAGGTTGCGTGTATACTGACTGACGACTGCAGGTCCGGCCTGGCCGCCTCTCCGAAGTAAAAGAGTAATTCTCCCCACCACCACCACCACCACCACCTGCGCGGCGAACAACCCCGTCTGACGCCATATGCCCTAGTATCGCCAAAACAGCCGGCAAGATCGTGCTCGACCAGCAGGGCGTCGTGCGCGGCGTGTCCAACTGGGGCACGTTTCTGCTGCCCAAGCCAGCCAAGAAGCTGCAGTCGACGCACCACTATGGCCACCACTTCATCATGCGCTTCGATGCCAGTGCGCGCGCCCAGCACTCGTTGCGCAGGACCATGAGTCTCGATCCGCGCCTCATTCGCTACAGCATCGTCAAGATGGGCACAAAGTTCGAGGAGATCAAAGATGTGCTGGGCACGGCCAAGTTTCGGTGATGGAGGGGGGAGGTGTATCATAGTGTACATGAACAAGAATTGCATTGCAACATGGCGTTTGGGATTATGAGGATGAGCAGCTTAAGGTGGAAGTTATGCAAGGCAAGAGATTGGCAAAAGCCGTGGCGCATTCACGTCAATCTGCGCCGTTTTTGCCCTACGTCTCTTTTGGCACTGCGATTGCCGTTGACTCGATACCAAGCACGTGATGTTATCATGGCATTGGACTGACGGAGCATAGAGTGATTCCAAGTAACCGATCATGATTCATGCTATACTACCACTCACATCATATATACACTCACACACCATGTCTTCACATCATCAACCCCTAACCACTCCACACCTTGGGCCCAGGACACGTGTACGTTGTCTGGGAGCTCGAATACGTATCGACCATGATACCGGGATCATTCTGCGACGCATACCCAGGAATCGTAGCCAGATAATCGCCACTGGGGTTCGCGGAGCCGCTGCCCGTAACCTCAATCTGGGCGCACTCGGCGTAGAACTGGGGGCTGCGTTCCTGGTGCAGGGCGAGCAGCTCGTGGCGCACCAGGTACTTGCCTGCTGCAAGCGATGCCGGGACGGTGGACTCCCAGTATAGGTTCTTCAGTACAAAGGCGGTGCCCCAGTTGCGGCCAGATAGAGGCGGGGCTGTCATGCCTTGCTCGTCGATCTAGTAATTACATCAGCACGTCCCTAGGTATACAGAGCGTGAAGGCGGCCGAGGGGAGTGAGAGGATAAGCATACCTTGAACCACTTCTTCCCGCTACCATCACAGCTGCTAAAGTCTCCAGAGCACTTGTACATCCACACCATGACGGGCCCCTGCTCATGCGTCCACTGCTTCCAGATGGCCCGGATCTTGCCTCCGGCCTTGACCTTTGCGCTGAGGTCGGCCGACGTGCCGCCGTTGCACATGACTTTGCGGTCGTTGACGCTCATGGTGGGGTTGTAGTCGGGCCATTGGCGCTGAATGGTTTTTGGGGACGATGCGGGCGAGAAGCCTTCGTAGCTGGTGTGGCGTTAGTTTGCTGTGGATGTAGGTGTAGGTACGAGGTGGATGGATGGATGGTGTTGGTAAGGAAGAGGAGGATTTTACCCAGGATACGTCACTCAATATATCCAGCACCGTACTTGGTCTTACTATACTATACCCGTTCCTCGTGACGCCTCTCCGCCCTTTTTACCCGGGCGCAATGACAGCATGGGAGGGCGAACAAGGGGGGGGGGAGGGGGGCATCGTAGATTAAAGTCAAATACCGGAAATGCGGGGCTGGCTTGGGACTAAGTAAAGAGTGGGCGCGTGTGTAGGTGGTGGAGAGCGTGCCAAGCGGTGACATGGAGAGATGGGGGTGGGTAGTGTGACTTGGGCGGATATTATGTTATGTATCGGGATGGAGGTGTGGGTATCTGGAGAGATGATGCAAGCAAGCAAGCAAGCAAGGGGAAAAGGAGATGGAGGAAGGGAGGCAGGTGGATAGATGAATGGGTGGGTATGGATATATAAAGAGGATATGATGCTTAAATACATGTATTCCTGCTCCCCTCGCCTCCCTCGCACAAGACTGCATACACTGCAAAGATGCTTCTCTCAAACTTCCTCGTTCCAACGGCCTTGTTGGCCGCCCAGGCTGCGGCGCATGGAGCCGTGACGAGTTATGTGATTGATGGTATCGTCTCGCATCGCATCGCGTCTTGGGGTTTGCGTAGATGCTTGCCTTTCTCCGTGCCTGATCGGGGAATTTTCTTTCTCTCTCTCTTCTTCTTCTTTTTTTTTCTCTCTCTCTTTTCGTGCTTCGTTGACGCGTGGACATATTCATTTACTCATCTCTCTCTCTCTTTCTCTCCATCCACGCGCCCTTCCATCCGGCGAAACAACCACAACATACACACACACTCACAACCAAGTACACCAGAGCCACCGCACAAAACAAAAACCGGAGCCATCTACTCCGCTCCGCACCCTTTTACGCCCATACCAAGCCATATATATGTTATATAAAACACGCGACGGGGTAGGCGGACCGTCAACGCGCGCGAATGGCAATATGGATTGATGGGCGGTTTCATGAGGGAGAGAGGTTTGCTTGGCTGTTTCCTGTTTGGGGCTAGCGGGCGCTCAAGGTTACTGTAGCCAGATGAAATGGAAGTTGGCGAATGAGAGGGCGAGGACGAGGGTGGATGTCATTGTCGTGGTGTATGTTGAGGGATCTGGGGGATGATGAGAATTATGGACGGAGGGAGGGGAAGTAAGATGGGTATCGCGCGATAAGATTAAAATGAAAACGAGAGTGACCGGGGTGTGGGTGTGTGTGTGTGTGTGTGGTCTGGTATCTATCTCCATCTGTCTCTACATGTCTTTCAATGCATGTCTTTGCTCTACACAACGCGTACAAAACAACAAAAACAGTCATAAGTCATCAAATCATCAAAAATCCTTGACATGCGCAATCTCCTCATCGGGCTTTCCCTTGCCGCCATGCATGACCTCGTACCTCTCGCCGTCATCACTATTATAGGCAACACTGATATCGGTAATCTCGTCGCCAACCTCCATCCAGACATCGCTGGTGGCGGGAATAGGACTGATCTTGCATAGGGCCCAGTAAGTGATGCTTGCGACGAGGAAGCCGGTGAAGAAGTTGAGGTCGTAGATGCGCTGGGCGCCAATGGGAACTTTGCGGCCGACGGCACCGGCAAAGCCTACGACGTTGATAGCAACACCCGCAATGTAGGCTGCGTAGCCACGCCAGTGGAAGCCAAAGGTGAAGTAGTAGGGTCCGGTCTTCTTGCCAGAGTAGAGGTCTTTGATCTGCAGGTAGCCTTTGCGGACAACATAGTAGTCGCAGATCATGACGCCGGCAATGGACGAAAGGAAGACGGAGTAGGCAGAGAGGTATGTGGTGAAGCTGTTGGTGTCGGAGAGCAGGTTCCAGGGGCACATGACGAGGCCGACGAGGGCGCAAACGTAGCCACCGCGCCTGATGCTGATCCAGCGCGGGGCGAGGGCTGTCATGTCGGTGCCGGCCGAGATTGAGTTTGCGGCAATGTTGGTGCCGAGCTGGGCGAGGGTAAAGGCCGATGCGATGACAAAGACACCAAAGCGCTGGCCCGATCCGCCTTCGTTGAGGAACTGCTCAAGCAGGTCCAACGGGTTCCAGATGGCCTTGCCGAAGATGACGGTAGACGACGAAGACACAATGATACCAATAAAGGATGTCACGGCAAATCCAACGGGAATGGTGATGAGTTGGGGGAGAAAGGCGTTGGAGGGCTTCTTGGCGAAACGCGCAAAGTCGGGGTCGTTTACAATCAACGTGGCAAAGTTGGCAATGGCACTCATGATGCCCTTGACCATGAGCCAGCCCAGATCAGAGCCCTTGGCCTCGCCGGCCTGGTGCACAATAGGGCCCAGTCCCTTTGCGCGTACAACGGCCCAGATGAAGAAGGCGATTCCAGCAGTGGGTGCGAAAAAGGCCTTTACCGTGAACAGATGGCGAATCTTGTGCACGGGCGGGTAGATGAAGGGCAGCGACCCAGCCCAGAAGAGGAAGAAGGACACAAAGGCGACGGTGTTGGTGCCAGAGTTGGGAATACCATTCTTAATGCCACCTCCGCCGGGGGTGTCGGCCTGGCAAAGTCAGTAAGAATAAGATGGACTGGACTGCAAAGAGACATGCATTTCGCCAATTGTTCCAGATGGCTCGAATCATCAGTCGCACACAGGCGCCGCCGATCCATCCCTGCACGCCATACCAGATACTGGCCATGGCGGCACGGTTGAAGACGGGCCATAACGCACCCCAGACGCCAAAAGAAGCGCGGTTAACGACGGGGAACGAGATGTGATAGGTCGCACCGATGCGGCCAGTCATGCAGACGAAGCAAGCCGCGATGGAGTAGCCGAGCTGCTGGGGTTAGCGATGGCATTGTGAGGGGTGCAAAGGCCATACCCAAACGCATATCCACGATTGCCACCACGAGAGACCGTCGACAATGTTTGCGGATGAAATCATCCACGTGTTGATGTTGAACGAGTCGGCTGTGATTGTTAGGACATGGTTGGAGGCATCGTGAACGCAGTGAACATACCAACCCAGAAACCGACGAAATTCCAAGCGCCCCATTGTCGGCGTTCTGGTTCGACCTGGGCATGTTAGCAAAGGCAGTGCCACATGGGCTCGGCACACCGACAGGCTTGAGGTCATGGTTGAACAGCATCAGCTGGGCCGTGGTGAGGTTGGGTTCGCTCTCGACGGCGAGCTTGTTTGCCCAGTGGGCGACCTTTGAAGTCTTGACCTTTTCCATGATGGCGTCGAGGAAGGCGGGCTCGTCGCTCGAGTGGAAGACGGCTGCGGTCGCAACGGGCCTTTTGAAGCTCGCGCTCCGGCTGCTCGAGGCCGTGGGCTGCAAGGGATCTGAATCCCGGCTCCAATGACGTGGGGGATTATCACCGGCCGATGTGGATGAGCTGGGGCGTGGTGAGGCTGGGGGGAGAAGCGGCTGGCGTTCAGGATCCACAATGATTGGTCTCCGCGGGCGTGCAGCGGAGGCGGGCTTCAGACAAGAACAAAGTCGGAGATGGAGGACGAGCTGGAGGAGTAGTGGTAGTGGTAGGGCGAGGTGGTGCAGGTGTAAAGGCGGGCCTTGACCTGGAGCACGGCCAACCATGGGATGTGGTCCATTTTAAATAGCAGGCGCTGGGGGACGCAGGGCTTGCAGCAGCAGGTCGGTGGGAGCCTGGGTTTGATGCCATTGCCACATGGTTGGTGGGACGTCTTATCTTGAACTCGCGATAGCCCGCGCCGTGAGCTCCACCCAGCCTCTTAGGGCTCCCGTAGCGCGACTGCAGCTGGGCCCTCGCGCTCGCGTGCGTGCATTCCTTCGGAAACTTGCCCAGTGATGCGCATCAACTAGCAGTGTCAGTGTCGCGCTCGAGAAGGCGCACAATGCGACGTTGCGGCGGCGTGACCAGCGCAGTGGCAGCCGCCCAAGGCCATGTGGACGGTGTTGCGCCGCGCACAAGGCCAGGGATGCTGCGCAGGCCCTGGGGCGCGGGGGAGACATGCGCAGAGTTTGCGCTGCTATCGCGGCGATAGGCGTGCGGTGCCTGTGTGCACAGAGTCGGCGACGGTTGACTCGATAGCAACATGTCACCAGGCGTTGCGGGGGCCGGAGATGGTCGATTATCTCTTGCGCCGTGGTCGTCGAAGTTGCATGTCGAGCCTCGCTACACGGCGCTGGGCAGATAAAGAGCGTGTGGGGTTGCAGGGGGAAAAAAGCGCCGAACCGGCCATTCAGCGCCGCCCGCGTCGACTTTACTCGATGACATCGAGTAAAACGGCTGCACTATATGTATCATGCTCCTCTTTCCATCATCTGCCCAGCCCGGCCTTGGTGCTCGCACTCGCCTCCAACGCCTCTCCCGCCTCTGGAGTTCTAGACGCCGCCGTGGTGGTAGGCCGCACGCGACATGTCGAGATAGGTGGACTGGGGAGCGGGGGGAGAGGAGAGGGGAGCTTCTCCTTTTGTTTTTCTGCAACACGCACACAGTCAACACCACCAACTGCCGTCCTTGTTCCTACGCCCTTTTGGCCCTCTGCCCTTCTAGACGCGCCGTCTGCCCATGGTCAAACCACGGGTACCTGCAGAAAACCCACTCGTCGCCATCGCTGGCACTGAGATGGGTATGCGCCATTGGCCCTTGGGAAACGCCCATATATCAAACCGGCAGCCGAATCAAACAGCAGCCGGGCGACCATGGTTTCGGACGCAGCGTATGTTTGGACGTCCGTCGGCCAACCATCATTTCCGCCTCGTGTTAAACGTCACGCCTGACAGCGACTACGCCCAGCCGCGTGTCAATGATTCACGAGCAGAGCCCTCTGGGGTGAGTTTCGTTTCGTGTTGATAAGGCGACGGGGGCGATACGAGCGTCGACGCCAGACACAGCAAGCCATGCGAGACTCGGCACTTGGACACGACAACGAGCTGGATTCATTTCATTCATAGTCATTATGCATCTACCAATATGTACCCACGGCCATTACTCGACGTCATGCATCCAGTCTGCACAAAACCACACGGCTGCCGTTCGTCGGTCGTCGTCATTTATCCCAAACGCCGCATCAAACCAGATGCATCAAACAAAGCCACCAATGTACACAGCATACAAACCAGAACCACATGCGACTGGCCCTTTGTTACGCCGACGTCATCTAGTTCCAGCCGTTGCCGTGGTGCTTGTCCTTCTTGGCCTTGTCTTCGAGCTTGCTGCCGAGAATGGAGCCTGCAATGGCGCCTAGAATGCCGTGACCGCCGAGCTTGTTGCCGCCAAAGTAGCCGGCTGCACCGCCGCCGAGCGCGCCCATGAGTCCACGGTCGCCCTCTGCCTGCGCATTAGGGTCCGTGGCACCAAACTGGCCGGGCTGCTGGTGGCCAGGCGCGGCGTGGCCCTGCGGATACTGGTCCTGGGGGTACGCGCCTTGCTGTGGGAACTGGTGCGACGGCTGCGCACCAGGGTACTGTCCTTGGGGCGGGTACTGCTGCTGCTGCTGCTGCTGCGCGTATCTGACATGGTGTGAGCGAACAGTCATAGGCTGCGGCTGGAAACATGTTTTCTTACCCCTGCTGCTGGTCGTAAGGCGCCGCTTGCTGGCCGTGCTGAAAGCCACCGTGAGCGGGCGCGCCGTACTGCTGGTTGTAGCCCTGCTGCTGGCCGTCGTAGTAGCCCTGGTTCTGGTGCTGTGGCGGATAGCCCTGCTGCTGCTGGTGCTGCTGTTGCTGCTCCCAGCCCTGGCCCTGGGGTGGGTACTGGCCCTGGGGCGGGTACTGGTGCTGCTGGTAGCCTTGGTTGTACTGGTCGTAGGGGCCGGACATGTCGAGGGGATTGGGTTTGAGAGCGGGATATGCGGTGTCGATGGGCTGATGCGGGCTGAGCGGAGGGGCTTGGTTGAGGGGTAGTTTCTGACGTAAGGTTGCGAGGCGGGACGGAACACGGAGATGGCAAAGTGTGAATGGCGTGGTTGTAGAGATGTAGGGCAGGAGTAAGAGGAGCCGGCGCTCAGCCGGGCCTGGTCGCAATCTTATACGGCTGCTCTTTGCGCCGCCTGATGACTGAACACATGCGCACTACGCCTCGAGGGGGGCGCGGGCGACGGACGCCTCGGATGTGGGTGCCATGCCCTCTCAGCCAGCGGCTCAGCCACGGCCGCATCACGCGCCACAGCTGCAGACGCAAGCCGCAAGTGCAAGCCGCAAGTGCCGGCGAGGCGGTGCGCCCATTATGTAATCACAGCGCCACCTGTGCCGCTGCCTGTCCTGTTTCCCGCCCGCCGCCAGCCGCCAACCGCCAACGTCGTCGTCGATCCGGGAATTCCATGGCCCCGCGGATGTCGGCTTGCCCGTGCCTCAGGAAACACTTGATCCGCCCCTGCGACGCCTGCGACGAAACATGGTGTGCCTCTCGCCATGTGTCTGCCCCCATTACACATGTACGTGTGCGTGCGTGTGCGTGCGTGTGCGGGCAAGGCAGGCATGCCGTGCGCACAATTGCTGTAGTGGCCTCGGCCGGCTCGCTGCACAGGCCGAGCCCAAAACACCGTCGCACCTCCTCATCAAAAGAAATCGAACAGTGCTAGGCCGAATACAGTTAGAGACTGTTCGATTTCTTATGATGAGGTGGTGGTCGCGTCACGCTACCATCATCGTGGACCTGTACCCACACGAACCAGGTCGTGCGCCAAGCCGCTGCCTAAGCCACCGTCTAGAGGCGCAGCTTCCCAGTCTCGCTCCTTCTCGTCCCCCGACACCACACGGTGGCTGCCGCCCGTCGCTGCGCGCATACACATACGCCGGTCCGACCCCCCATGCCGCCGTACGCCCACCGCGCCCTATATGCGGAGAATTATCCCCACCACAAACACCTCAACGCCTTCATCACCGCCGCCGCCGCCATCGACGCGAGGCTCGCTGTCCAATGGCTGCCAGCGACTCGATGGTCTCACCCCGGGCCCCCTGTGGCGTCTGATCTGCCCCCAGACACGGCCGCTGAAACGCGACCATGGCTCTCTGAGACGCCTCCAAGACAAAGTCCAAAGCTTGCCGGCCCAATTTACCACACAACGGCGTCAATCTTACTGCTTTGGGCCTGTCTCGGCGCTCATTCCCCCAGCTGACATGGCCATTGCGAGTATTTTCGGCAGTCGACTGCTGCTAAATTCACCCTTCTCATCCTGTCCTCGGCTCCACTCTTTCCCTCTGTCCAAACTGACATGGGACCAGGAGCGACTCAGCGTTAGCGTCCTTCATGCACCTTCTCATATGCGCCCCCCTCGCGCCAGTCGCATGAACGTGTCTCGTCTTGAGCGTTCGCCCAGACTTTCCTTGCTCCTCTACTGGCTTGACCTTCCCTTCCTTTCTGACCTTTGTTCCGCAGGCGGGCGCTGTTGCTAGCTAATACTTACTCACATTCCTTCCTTCACACCACCCCAACAATCTCCTATACCCGTCTCGTCTACGACTACGCTGGTCGCAGTCCTGCTTCCCGAGGACTAGAAGCCATCTTCTATCGCCAAGTCCTTTCATCGCTGGTCGATTTCGCGGATTATGTCTGGTGGAGGAATTCAGTGGCCGGAAGACTGAGAGGGGCTGTCCCTGACCCACGCCATCAACACACACACACACACACACACACCGGACGAAATGCCTACCCCACGGCGCAACGAGGCCAGCAACAGAGTCGGATATGTCGTTGTTGAGAAGGATGGTGTCGAGCACAAGAGGTGGCTGGATCCGGAAGAGCCCATGGCCAACGTAAAACGGGTAGTTGGATCATCTTGGCCCACGACGCAGCCGTCACGCCCCAGGGACGACGACGATGATTATCATTACGACTCGGACGACGACGAATACAAGACAACCCCTGTCGCCTCGCTGCCACTCCCATCAAGCACAACGGTAAGACGAAGACGGCGCACCGACGACGCAAACTAACCCTTGCAGCTGAGCACAATGTCCATCAATTCCAGCCCCAGACCCGCCGCTATCCCCGCTCAGACGCCAGTGGCGGAGATGCAACCGCCTGAGCCTCAGGGTGACACCAGGCCCATTTCGCAAACGACTGAGCACTTGCTCATTGCTGCCGGCTCCATTGGTAGGCAGAAGCTGCTGTTTTCTTTGCCCAGGGGGGTGTGCGCTGACATAGCAAAGGTGCAACCATTATCATTGTCATGCTCGTACTGGCCATCTACACGATGCGAAAACGCGGCGTCAGTATCAAGGGTCTTCTCCACCCGGGCAAGGGACCATACCAAAACGGCCCACCACCATCACTCGCCTCGCGCTATGGACAGGACCACAAGTACATGTACGGTGATGAGCGCGGCTACGGAATGAACGACTCAATCAACGCTCCTCGTCCAGCTGCCTACTCGGTCAAATCTGGCTCATTTTCAACGCAAAAGCCCCTCCAGTCTCTCGGACGCAGCGACAGCTTCAACCAGCCCCCCACGCGAGATGGCAACCGGAGCTTTTACGAAGATGCCTCGGAACCGGATTGGCATCGTCGCAACAACAGCACAACGCCATCCTCGCCGGTTCTTCCCATTGAAGGACAGCGGCATAGCGCATCAAGTCGCAACACTCGGTCCATTCTCGACGACGACGAAGCGCTGCAATTTGCCGAAGTCCAAGGACGGCCTCCTAGCAACCTCCCAGCTCCTCCGACCTTCCGCCAGTTCCTGTCAAACCGACCCTCCATCTCCCAACGGCCTGGCTTCGGCGGTATTGGCGCTATGGCAAGCCGGTTCAGCTGGACAAACTCAAACGCCCCTCAAACACCTCACGATCCGTCACGCGATACCGTTGCCCAATCGGTTGGCCGTGACAGCTACATCACAACACGCTCTTCGGTCCCTCGCTTCCGCACAGTCGACTCGTGGGTCAACCAGCAATCGAACCGTGTGGAAGAGCAGCGCCTCAAGCAGCAGTTCCGCATGACACAGTCTACCGCATGTTCCGACGACGATGTGCCCGAGATGCCAGCCCTACCAGCAGGAGTTTCCAAGAACAACAGTGCCATTGCTCTGCAACCCACGGGCTTAGCGCGGAATGGCAGCAAGAGTGGGCTTGTAGGACGGGACATTAAGCACCAGAGACATGACACACAAACCACGGCACCCATCTTCAAGGCACACAGGTACCGAGGTTCGCTTCAGCGCGCGCAGTGAAGTACCCTCGGAGATCCTAGATCGGGGTCGCCAAAATACTGCGCTGTAAGCTCGACAAGTGTTTTCTTCTCGCGGTCAGCCAAAGCCGTGCTTTGTAAAAAGCCCTCCTAATTGCTATTCTCAATATTACCCACCATTTTGCATTCGTCGTTAGATTAGCGTCAAATTTGTTGCATCTTCATTGCGCGGGCACGGAAGGGAGCGGAAACGGGCGATACGGAAGCGGCAACGGAAAACGGCTGCATTTGGCGCTTCCCGGAGGCTATGGGAATAAGATAACCGCCTCTAGGACCCGTCTTTGTTCTACGGACAGCACCATCACCATCATCATCATCATCATCAACATCAACATCATCCTCGTCATCATCATCAGCATCAACATCGAGTTCGAAATGGCTCACTCTGTATAGTCTCGTCACATTTTCTCTCTCGCATGTCTGCCTGCCTGTCGCACATTGTACATTGCATAACCATTCTTTTTTATTTTCCTCTCTCTCTCTCTCTCTCTCTTACTCTGGTCTCCGTTTATGTTCAAATGTTCCAACAATACCTGAAATACCTCGATTGATAGCATCAATCGATGTGTTTTCGCCATTTTTTAACCTACGTACGTAATGTCATTGTATCCTGCTCAACTCGGCCCTTTTTTACACTATGCCCTTGGTGCCGTTGGTGTACGTGCATGTCTATGTGTCGCCAAATGCCGAGTCGCGGTTTTACATGCGTGGTGTCGGTGTATCGTGGTTTGAGTGATGCAGTCATGTTGTTACTAGTAGCGAGACAAACGATGGTAGTGATGATGAATAATAAAAAAAAGTATTTTCCAAACTAAACATCTCTCGCGCGCGCTTCATGTGTTTTCCCATACATATGCCTTCGACTTCGACATGCCCGGTACATACACAACCAAACCAAGCTTCTACAGTATGTCACGCGCACTACTACCGAGATATCCCGCGGGTACCGAGGATATCGGTATTCTTTTTGCTGGATATGACATATATGGAAAGAAGGAATGCGCGAGTTTCGCGGGACATGGGTAATGTGTCGCACTATTGGCACTGGTGCTGGTGCTGGTGCTGGTGCTGGTGCTGGTGCTGGTGGGCGTGTGGTGTCTCTATACGCTTATTTTTTCCTTTCTGGGGTTGTATGTAGGAGCGAGAGGCGATGTGGTTAATTCCTCCTCACAGGGAAATTACTCTGTATGGATGGATAGGTGTTTTCCGTCTACTGTACTAATTTTTTTTGGAAATATCTAAACATGAAAAGCAACAATTTTATTATGCCATGCAATCATGCATACATAAACGCTCCTCACTATCATAATAATTATTTCAAGTACTGACATATTTCACGAGCACTTTGATATGCTGTCATGTTATCCCCCAAATCCACTCGCCACAATCTTCCCGACACCTGCTCGCCTTCCCTTCTGCCGTCCCCAACGTAAGCAAAGCTAAAGAACCACCAGGCCACCAAATCAAACCAAAATGCCATCAAACTTCTCAAATCTCACCTCGCGCTCTCATCGCCCTCGAAACAATAACCATCTCGCCCCTCAACCCCTCTACCCCCTCGCCCTCGCCAAGGGCCAAGCCGCCCTTCTCGTTCCGCCAAGCAGCCACATCTCACGTTTTCCAAGTCAAACCAAGCTGAACAACCCATGTACGTGTATATGTGTCGAACGAGCGCGTTTAACGGCGTAAACAAGTTCGATTTGCGCCAGATGGGGAAACAAACGAAATCGTGGAAAGGGCGCGTGGATGGATAGATGGATGGATGGATGGATGGATGGCGGGGGGAGGGGCGAGGGATGTTGAAAGAAGCTTTTGGAGGGTTCGCGCGCGCGCGCCTCTACCTTCACTTTGCATGTCCCTTAGCATAGCCATATGTAGGCGGGTGCATTTTTTTTTTACTTAGCTGTATACTAGACGCAAAATATTTCCAAGTCTCCCAAGACTTTGTGGGGGGTTTTTTGGAATGTTCCGTGCTTAGCTGGTTAGAGCACGTCGCGTACATGAGGAGGGGCGCGCGCAAACTACCCACCCCCCCCCCTCATTCTGGTGATTAGGGACTACGGGTGAGTAGGAGGAGACTATTGCGTGCAACTCTCAAACGCCCAGTGCCCAGTGCCAATACTACCGGCGACGACGACGTGACAGCGACAGCGACAGCGACGGCGACGGCGACGGCGACGGCGACAGCGACAATGACAATGACAATGACACCGACGCCGACAGATGGACAGCAATGACAAAACCTCACGACACGACATGATGCACTAGACCTTCCCACCCACACGTCCCCATGTCCCTGCCTGTCCATCTGTCTTTCTGTCCATCTGCCATTCCATCCATTCCATTCCATTCCTTCCACCGGTCGGTAGGTCGGTCGCTCCCTCCATCTCAACACACCACCAAGACACCACACTGACACGCGTTTCACCACTCCCCCCCCTTCCACCACCATCCCCTCCACAACCTTATCCCCCCCCCTCCCATCGGGCATCACCAAGATTTTTTTCCTGCCTCCCCGCCTCCATTCAAGCGCGCGCCATTTTCCCCTTTCCATATTCCCTCGTTTTTCCCTCGTCTGACATGCCCCAAGACCCTTGGTTCCCTGCCTCGCTTACTTTACTTGCCATCTCATACTATGGCATCCCGTCCGTCTTACCTGCCTACGTGCGCGCTCCGATCTGAAACATCGGCACATGCGGTAACGCTTGGGTGGTCGGCCCGCAGGATACCCCATTGCACACGCTGCGCTGCGCTGCACTGCACTGCACTGCACGACGCACGCGAGTCGAGACGCCGATACACGAACTTGATACCACAGCACGCAACCCCCCGATGCGATGCGATGCGATACGACAGAAAGCTAGCTAGCTAGCTAGCACCACGGTACATGGATGCTCCGCTTCGGTGCTTCTTCGCCAATCTAAATGCATACCTACATACATACGTCCGTACGTACGTCACGAAGCGGCAAAGGGCGAAGAGCGCGTCTAGAGTGCCCTATGGAACAAGGGCATCTAGAACCGATGTGCCGACAAGGGTATATACTGTATGTATGTATGTACATCGATGCGTCGACATGGGATTATGTGCAAGGACGCTCGGAACGGTCGCACGCGGATCCAAGAGCTGGTGCCGGGGATGCGCGTGTATGCGGTCCTAAGCTTTCTGCTTCGGGCTGGGCTGGCTGGGGAGTCAAGTAAGTAAGCCGCTGACGTATGCTACGACAGGGCAGGGTAGGCAAGGGCATTACTACGGGAACATAGATACAGAGGATATACGGAGGTGCCTCACAAAAGTTTTGTCCTGCCAAGAATAATTTAGCCGAAATCTG